GAACCTTAAGGATATTGAATTCTGAGGACAGTTCCAAAAGATTTTTGGGGAGTATTCCAAGAAAAGTCTGTGAATAATTTCTAGTGAATCCTGCAGATAGTTCCAAGATAATTCCGAAAAGAAGACCGAGAAAAATTAGATTTTCAGTGAAATTCCAAAGGGATTTTACGCAAAATTTAAAGCGAATTCCGAGGATAATCTCAAGCTCATTCCGGGAAAAATTTCTGAAACTCTGAGGAAATTCTTCTGAAACTCTAAGGGAATTTCAGTTTCAAGGTGTTCTGAGTAAACGTCAAGAAGAGTTCTAAAAATAATTCCAGTGGAATTCTGAGAAGAATTTCAAAAGAGCTCATAGAGTTCTAAAAATTTCGAAAAGAACCTCAAGGTATTCCGAGGATGGAATTTTTCGCAACTGTACAAAGGTTGAAGATGCTTTTGGATTCCCTAATTGAAAAGTGGGTATAAGTCTGCTATTTATTAATTTTATCTAGATGAATGCGTCATTGGGACGGTACTAATGGATATTGTGGGTCGCTATTGAAAATTTAGTCGATTGCTGAATTTATCTATGGGCCCAAATTAGGGGCATTTAGACCGACATTACATCCATTTCCCGTATATTGATAACGCTGAATCGACCGACGGAAACATTCGGTGGTTGTGAGACGGGTGTTGAAAACAGACGCGACGACCATCTTCAATACCATTGCTGAGGTCCTGACAGCGATGCAGATTTCTTGGGAGCAGGTGATGGCAGTATGTTTTGACAGTGCCAGCACAATGACTGGCAGCACTGCTGGAGTACAAGCCAAGTGCAAGGACAAAAACAACCATATACTTTTATGAAGAGCTTTGAGTGTGTTGGTTTATTTCATTTTCATTCCGTTATAATTGCTTATCTTTTGACAGATACGCGTATTTCATCTACTTCTTGAAGACTTCATCAGTGCCAAGTACTCAACACCACCGATCAAGATTGGATTGATCAAGAGCAATATACTGTTTGTTCACTGCTATGCGCACTGTTTAAACCTTGTACTTGTCGAAGCAGTGTGCATGCGAAAGGAGAATGCGATTCTTATTGGTCATTCATGTCGGTTTGTCGGTGCTATCACCACCATCTGACGTGACTTCAGCTGAACCCAACCACCAAGGCAACAACGTTGCAGCAAATGTATCATTTTGGTTAAAGCCCTAATATCGCAACCATTTGACGAACCGATCATCATCGACATCATCGATGGGATTGAATTGCATATTTCCATTGGCTGTCTGAAAGCAGTTTGCGTTAAAGAGGATGAACCACCACCGGAGCAAAAAATAATTAAATTAGCTAAATTGAACAGTAGGAAAATAGTGGGAGGTGGACAGCACCATCCACCACATACTTTGGAGTACTCCCCCATCCCCAGATTAAATGCACCATATAAAAAAATGCCCCTCCTTAACAAGATTCCTGTGCACGCTAGTGAACAAAGTCCAAACAACTTTAAAGAAGTTGGGAGTTCCATTTTCCCAAGATTGTCAGAAAATTTGGAAATTTTACGTCTTCAAAAGAGTTGTTTATTTTGTCAAGGGAAACAACTTTGCCGAAGACATCAAGTCTCCAAATCGTCAGAGAAAGAAGTTAGATTGGGGAGCCAGCTTTGCGGAAGAGTTTTGAACTATTTGTTTATGTCAATAGATGGTTCTTATTATGATGAGAAACTTTGCCGAAGACACCAAGTGGCGGAAATTCTTCGTTTCGGAGTTATTAATTTTGCTCCGCTAGATTGCATTTCTGGCCCAGTGTGCATTGTGAAGTGAAAATACAATTTTCCTTTTACATGTTATCCCGGGGCATCTGCTGGTTGCAGAATGAGCTTTCTAATGGCAATGTTTTGTGCAAAACTGTGATTGCAGCCTACTACAGGTTCCTCCCGTGGGATTCCAGTGACTCCGGAAAGGCCAATGTGGTCAATGATTCACTTTAAGTCTATAGAAAGGATATTCATGAAAATCCATGAAGAAAGAGCTGTCGCACGGCATGTTTTTGAGTAAAAATGCAATTGACCCCTGCTACAGGTTCCCCCGGGGGAATCCTAGTGGTTCCAAGAGCAGCCAATGTGGTCAATGATCCACTGCAATTCTATAAAAAGCATATTCATGAAAATCCATGAAGAAAGAGCTGTCGCACGGTATGTTTTTGAGTAAAAACGCAATTGTTCTCTGCTACAGGTTCTCCCGGGGGAATCCTAGTGGTTTCAAGAGCGGCCATTGTGGTCAATGATTTACTTTAAGTCTATAGAAAGGATATTCATGAAAATCCATGAAAATCCTGTCGCATGGCACGTTTTTGAGAAAAAACGCAATTATCTCCTGCTACAAGTTTCCTCGGGGGTATTCCAGTGGTTCCGAGAGCCGCCAATGTGGTCAATGTTTCACTTTAAGTCTATAGAAAGGATATTCAAGAAAATCCATGAAGAAAGAGCTGTCGCACTGCATGTTTTTGAGTAATAACGCAATTTTCCTCTGCTACAGGTTCCCCCGGGGGTATCCAGTGGTTCCACGAGCGGCCAATGTGGTCAATGATCCACTTCAATTCTATAGAAAGCATATTCATGAAAATCCATGAAGAAAGAGCTGTCGCACGGTATGTTTTTGAGTAAAAACGCAATTGTTCTCTGTTACAGGTTCTTCCGGGGGAATCCTAGTGGTTCCGAGAGCGGCCAATGTGGTCAATGTTTCACTTTAAGTCTATAGAAAGGATATCCAAGAAAATCCATGAAGAAAGAGCTGTCGCACTGCATGTTTTTGAGTAAAAACGCAATAGTCCCCTGCTACAGGTTCCTCGGGGGCATACCGGAGGTCCTGAGAGCGTGCAATGTGGTCAATGATTCACTTTAAGTCTATGGAAAGCATATTGATGAAAATCTATGAAGAAAGAGCAGTCGCACGGCACGTTTTTGAGTAAAAATGCAATTGACCCCTGCTACAAGTTCCCTCAGGGGTATCCAGTGATTCCGAGATCGGCCAATGTGGTCAATGATTTACTTTAAGTCTATAGAAAAGATATTCATGAAAATCCATGGAGAAAGAGCTGTCGCATGGCACGTTTTGAGTAAAAATGCAATTGTCCCCTGCTACAGGTTCCTCCGGGAGTATTCCAGTGGTCCCGAGAGTGGCCAATGTGGTAAATGCACTTTAAGTCTATAGAAAGCATATTGATAAAAATCCATGAAGAAAGAGCTGTCGCATGGCACGTTTTTGAGTAAAAATGCAATTGTCCACTGCTACAGGTTCCTTCGGGGGTATCCCAGTGGTTCCGAGAGCTGCCAATGTGGTCACTGATGCATTTGAAGTTTAATAAATGCCTATTCATGAAAAACCATGAATAATGAGCTGTCGCACGGCATGTTTTGGTGTAAAAATGCAATTGTCCCCTGCTCCAGGTTCCCCCGGGGGCATACCGGAAATTCCAAGAGTGGCCAAAGTGGTCAATGATTCATTTGAAGTTTATCGACAATCTATTGACGAGAAACCATGAAGAAAGAGCTGTCACACGGTATGTTTTGAGCGATTAAGTGATCTGCCCGCATTCAGAACCCCAGAACCGAATCCAGGGAAATGGTAATTAGTATGAATTCAGCTTACTTTGTGGAAGCTCAGCTAAATTGATAGCCCTTCAGTGAACTTTGTGGAAATTCAGAAAATGTTGTAGGAGTCAAGCGAATTTCATAGATGTTCAGTGAACTTTGTAAAACTTCATCGACCTTCGTAGAAATTAAGCGATCTTTAGAGAAATCTAGTGAATTTTGTTCTTTGACTTTATGTTTAATATTACCATAGAGGTAACTCTAAGACTAGAAGGTCCCGAAATAACGTGCTCAACTTTTTGGCTCAGCTCTGGTACCCTCTTCGGTCCCAAGCTAATCGATTCACCCCTCGAAACATAGGAAAATCCACGAACCCCTCATTTTATCTGTCAAATTTTCATAGCGAATCAAAACAAACATAGTGTAGTACTAGAATTTTGACTAGAAAGGGGTACGTTAATCGATTTGCTTGGGACCTACAGGCTAGTCAAGTAGTGAGCCAATTTAAAATCGTTAGTTTCGTATTGATTGTTGGTATTTCATGTAATGTAGTAAATATTGTATACAAAAGTCCATTGTTGTAAACAACATTGTTTACAAGTTGCTCGGATGCGTGAAATGAAATGCAAGTTTACGTGAATGAATGTTTACATCACTATTAAAATCCAGAATTTTTATCTGTGTAACCCGTAAAGTACCCGTACGATTGTGCGCACAGTTAATTTTGTGGTTTACAACAAAAGTTTTAAAATCAACTTAAAGTCACTTCAAAATCATATAAATTAACCATATTTTTAATCAGCAGATTAATCATCCGAAAATTCAACATAACTCAATCTCCCCGCCGAGTTCTTCCAAGCGCCGAACGAGACGACGACGACCATCACCACCACCACCGCACTTCGCAAGGCGGTCAAATATCGATTCATCCCCCAAAAAAAAATAAACCATAGCTGACCGAAACCCACGCGAGTGCCCAACTTCTTCTGGTCGTGTCGTCGTCGTCGTCGTCTTCTAGTGGCTGCCTGCCGCCGCCGCTGCTACCACTCACGAAAAGAACAATTAATCCTCGCGATGAGGCCCATGAGCGAGCAGAGCACGCACACCAACCACCCACCCCACTTCCCTCGATCGGGAAACGAATTGGTCTGCTCCATTTGCATTGCTAATTAGCACATACACACACACATACACACATTCAGAGGGGCACGACGTCGACGACGTAACCTAGAAACCCGCGGTATGCGATTCGTTCCTGTTCGGGGATTTCGGGGCCACCAAAACAAAAACCGACCGCCTTTGGTCCCCAACAACAAATGGGCGTTTAAAAATACCCCGAGCATTGATTTTACCCATACGGGGTTCGGTGTGTTGGCGTGTGGGTCCTAATTATAGAAATCAAAACTACGAGCATAGTGTACTTACCTTGAAGACTTTGAACGAGGAAACCACGTAGCTGGAGCCGTCCTCCAGCTCGTCGAGGGAGTACTTGCGGTCGCCGTCCATCGAGAAGATGTACCGGGCGCCCCGGGGCAGATCCATCCGCGCGGAGATCTTATCCAGGAGCGCCTCCAGTGTGCAAATGTCACGTCCGGGCTTGAAGCGGAACTCGACCCCCGGGAAGAAGGGATCGCCATTCCGGTAGAACAGGACCCGTCTGGCTTTCCAGAACGACAGGTTTGAGTATCGTGATTGCGGATTGCCCCCGATGGTGCCGGGTACGCCCGGGTTGTGCGGCAATAAGCCGGACGGACCGGGAATGTTTTCGAGGGAAAGATCGGTGCGCGATGGAGTTCGCGCCGCTATGCTAATGGCCGGATGAACCGGCGTAGTCTGTGGCTGTGAGGAAGATTGATCACTCTGATTGTCCATAAAGGGCGGCACTGGTGCCGCACCGGATCCTATGGGTTGGACGACGGGACCCGAAGGACTTTGCACTCGACTCCCGGAAGCTACCTGTCGGCGTTGATTTGCACCCCAACCGCCACGGCCACCACCACCGATTGCACCACCACCACTAGAGCCGATCTTACTACGATTCACCACCACGTTACTTGTTATCACCGGATTCACGTTCACGGTCCGAGGCACCACAGGACCACTTTCGTCGTCGTCCGTTGGCGATAGGTTATTCTGGGTATACGATTCACTGTCCGGTCGAGCCTTCCAGCCACCACCTTTACGTGGTTTTATTCCACCGAGAGCACGCGTCGGAGCGTTCGGATTTGTCGTAGGTTGCCGGATGCTCCCCGTTGGTCCATTACCAGTTGATTCCGCTGTTGGTCCTAGAGGATCGCCGTCCGCTAGTGGACTGCCATCAAAGTTTCCATTGCCATTGGTGTCCCGTATGGGCGTCGTGGGCTTATTGGCTGCTGCTGCTCGCTTCAACGGTAACGGTGACACCGATGCCTTGCTCTTGATTAACGGTTTTGGCTTCAGCAGCGGAGGCGGAGGCGCTGGTTCACTTTCGTTGGCCTCCTTCTGACCGCTGCTATTATTGTTAATATTATCACCCGCCTGTTGTTGTTGTTGTTGGGTCACAGCACCTGGATTCGCGGCAGCACTGGGAGCACCAAACGTTCCGTTACTTGGAGTTGTTTGTAAACCACTGACCTGACTCGCCGGATCGTTCTCTCCCGAAGCCATCGCCAGTGGGCCACCGCCAGTAGTAATCGGTGCGCCTGTGTTGGTGTTGCCTCCATCGCTGTGGCCGGGATTGGGGGGCGTTTTCAAGGCTCGTTCGGCGTCTGCGCCACTTTCATTGGACATTATTATAAAGTTGTCGTGCTGGTGGTCGTCGTTGTAGTTGTGGTAGTACTTCTCTCTCCGGTAAACCGACGACGACGACTCACGGTAGCCACCCCCGCCGTGCCACTCGCGTACCTCACGTGCTGGGAGCTCTGGTTGTAGATCTAACAGACCGCTGCTGCTGCCACGGCGGACGAATGAAGAACCGTGATGGTGTTGATGCTGATGATGTTCACCGTAATTCCCAACGCCACCCCTGCTGCTGAAGAACCGCTGCTTGTTAACATCGTAGGATCGAATCGGAACGTACGGCGGTGGTGCTGCCACCTGGTACTGATTAGCGGCATCTACCAGGTCGTCCTCCTCCTCATAGTACTCACTGCTCGAGACCGTCTCCGAAGCCGAGCTCTGCACACACGTGGACGGTATTTAGAATTTTGCAGCGTGTTGTTCGGGTGTTGTGTGTGGGGGTGGTGGAAACAACGTGGGTGCCAAGGGGGTGGGTTTTACACGCATACACATAGAACGTTATTGTTGTTGTTTTTTTTTATTTGATTTAAAGGGTACAATCGAAAGTGGAAAAAGAGGGAAAGATTCGTAATTACCAGGGCTTACACTTATCGGGTGAAAAATTGTTCTCGTTCCGAATTTTGGATCGTTCTTTCTTCACTAATTATTATAATAATGCGAACACATCAAGTGAACCAAAAACACAACATTGACTTTTCATGCAACATTCACACTCGGACGAAACACGCAGCAAGAAGAAGGAGATGAAGCATATTTACTAGGTTAGGGTTAATATAGGTGCGACATACAAAGCTAATTGGAAATTGAAGTGAGATGGCATTAATCTAGATGCTGTGCTGCGACACGGAAAAATGTAGTGCATTGGGCCAATGTCGGTGCGCTTATCTTGGATTTCAGCTGGCGATGAGGTCGGTTGATTTGTTGGATGATTTCAACAAGTGAGGTTAGGCTTACATATGTACAGTTAGTTCTCCCTCAGTCGATTGAAATATAGGGTACTGTAATAGATTTTCCCATACAAAATTCTAAGAAATATTGATGTAACTCGTAATACGTTCTTTAACTCGATGGAAAGATAGAGTAATTTTTCAAGTTAAAATAAGACCTTCATTGAAATGTCTATTGGAAACTCTCCCATCGAATATGACCTGATGGAGGAGACGCGTGGCTGTTGACTATGGAGTCATTTTAAGATGCGTATGAGAAAACTACCTTGAGTGACAATCTCCAATTTGGATGAAACTTGTTACGTTTTACATGTTTCCAAGTGCTAGATACCATTTTGACGACTAATTTTCAGGGTGGCAAGCCAACCAAGAAAACCTGGAAAAAGTCGGGAATTTCAATAACACATGCAAAATAATCCTCAGGGAGACGTCGTGGCAATTTGATGCCTTCGGAATTTTTTTTTCCCATTAGTTTATTTTTAAGGCTCAAATATCCAAAAGGACACCACGGAGCCGAAAACCACTAATCAATGTACCATAAAAATATTAATGTGGAATATTGTTTATGCGTTTTTTTAACTCTTTATTTGTTCCAAATTCAAAATAAATTACATTTCATTTTAACCTAGGTGCTCCAGTTACTTACAGTAACTTACCAGCCTTAATTGTTATGATATATAGCTAAGTGTTTTTACATTGTTCATGTCTTGGCAATTCAGTATTTTAAACACGTTTTCTTAACCTGCACGTCAGTATAACAATTTACATCTTAAAACTAAAAACTAACATTAAATCTTATATAAGTATGAAGGGAATTAATCATTATTATTTAGGATTGCAACGATTTTTGCCTGAAATTTAATTATTTTGTTGGACATTTGTGCTAAAGCCTCAACATTCGAAATTCTATGTACCTCGGTAGTACTGCACCAGGGAGGCAACTTTAAAATCATCTTCAGAACTTTGTTCGGAATCCTTTGAAGTGCTTTTTTCCTGGTAGTGCAACAACAAGACCATATTGGCACAGCGTAAAGCATGGCCGGTCTAAAAACTTGTGTAAATATTAGAAGTTTATTCGTCAGGCAAAGTTTGGATTTCCTGTATATAAGAGTATACAAACATTTTAAATATTTGTTACATTTGGCTTGAATGCCCTAAATGTGATCTTTAAAAGTTAATTTTTGGTCAATTACTAATCCAAGATATTTCACTTGGTTTGACCAGGAAATTGGAACTCCGTTCATAGTGACTATGTGACTACTACTAGGTTTCAAAAACGACACTCTAGGCTTATGTGGAAATATTATAAGTTGAGTTTTGGAAGCGTTGGGAGAAATCTTCCATTTTTGTAAATAAGAAGAGAAAATATCTAAACTTTTCTGCAGTCTGCTGCAAATAACACGAAGACATCTTCCTTTAGCGGAAATGCCTGTGTCATCAGCGAACAAAGATTTGTGGCAACCCGTTTATGCGTTCTTCTTACTCTGTCTGGGAGGCGACTTGAACTTAGCTTCCGCCTTTTCCGTGCCCTTGCTTCATCCAATCGGCAAAGGCCTGCTTTATGAATGAAAAATTTCAGTTCCGTGAATTCATGTAAAAGCAGTTCTGTTTTGCATGTTTTGAAGTAAACATGTTAGCAATCCAGTCTTCCTTCGACAAAGTTGTCTATGAGATTACGATGAAGAAAGTTCAACGAGAAATTTTACGTCGTGTTTTAGATGATTTTGTAAAACGACAGCAAGGCCGGAACATGCTGCGGTTTATATGAGGCATGAGGCTAATTACGACCTCAAACGAATAAAACTTATAATGTGACACCTCAAATCACATTAGAATGAAAAAAAACTAGTTCAATGGTAGTCATTTGGGGGACCCTGTGCCACATTGCACAGTGGTCCAGAATGCAGATTTAGGTGGAATGATATGTTTTGAGCCTGAAATTGAAACTTTAGACTAAAAGTTTCTTCTAAAAAGTTGTTTCTTATAGTTAGGCCCTTATTTTTATGACAATGAATTCTAGGGTGGTTCCTATTATCATTAAAATCAAAAATCTAACTTTTTTGTTTGAATAAATTATGGTGTACATTCTTGAGCAAAGTTATAGCTGAGCTAATTTCAGGCAACTTTGTTGAAAATAACTTTATTGTATCTCTTAAATTGGCCGATTTAGAGCTATTTTCTTGAATTGAGTTAGGGAGGCTCTAAAAAAAAAACAGTTTTTTTGCTCTAGTTTTCTTATTTCGAATTTCTCAGCAAAGGCGTCTTCAGATAACTTTTAGATCTTAAGAAGGCGCAAATTATTGCTGCCCGAAGCTTGTCAATATCTTTCGCCGATCAAGAGTTATTGACGTTTTTATACTAAAAATATGCACTTGCATATGCAAGTTTATTTTTCGGCATTTGAAAGGGCGTATGTTATTCTCAATAATATGAAAAAAATTGAAGTATGTGATTTTTTAAACTCGTATAAAGTCAATTTGAATTTATTCATTTTTTTACTATATTTGGGTATATCTTTTTTATTAGAAGAGATACAGGCAACAAATTCAGCTATAGAACATTTGTCTTAAAGAGTTTTAAAATTCTCTACAAAATAACTTTCATGAGAAATTTCAAATAAAAATAGTTCATAGTGACTATGTGACTACTACTAGGTTTCAAAAACGAAGCTCTAGGCTTATGTGGAAATATTATAAGTTGAGTTTTAGAAGCGTTGAGAGAAATCTTCCATTTTTGTAAATAAGAAGAGAAAATATCTAAACTTTTCTGCAGTCTGCTGCAAATACCACGAAGACTTCTTCCTTTAGCGGAAATGCCTGTGTCATCAGCGCACAAAGATTTGTGGCAACCCTGAGGCAAATCAGGGAGGTCCGAAGTGAAAATGTTATACAATATAGGCCCAAGAATGCTACCCTGAGGAACTCCTGCTCTAACAGGTAGTCGATTAGATTTGGAATTTTGATAATTTACCTGCGGAGTTCTGTCAGTTAAATAATTTTGAACTAATTTCATAATATAAAGTGGAAAATTAAACTTTTTCAATTTAGCCATCAAACCTTCATGTCAAACACTGTCGAATGCTTTTTCTATGTCTAGAAGAGCAACTCCAGTTGAGTGGCCTTCAGATTTGTTTGAACGAATTAAATTGTTAACTCTTAAGAGTTGATGAGTAGTTGAATGCCCATGGCGAAATCCAAACTGCTCATCTGCAAAAAATGAGTTCGTATTGATGTGAAGCATCATTCTATTCAAAATTATCTTTTCAAAAAGTTTACTTATTGAAGAAAGCAAACTTATTGGGCGGTAGCTAGAAGCTTCAGCTGGATTTTTATCCGGCTTCAAAATTGGAACAACTTTTGCATTTTCCCATTTATTAGGAAAGTATGCCAAATGGAAACATCTGTTAAATAATTTTACCAAGAAAGACAAGCTACTCACTGGTAGTTTTTTGATGAGGATATAGAAAATTCCATCATCACCTGGAGCTTTCATATTATGAAACTTTTTAGTTATAGATCTTACTTCGTTTAAATCAGTCCCCCAGGAATCATCAAAAATATTTTCCCGAGAGAAAATATTCAGAAAATCCCGAGCAACCTGATTCTCAATAGGACTAGTAAGACCCAAACTGAAATTATGGGAACTCTCGAATTGCTTAGCAAGTTTCTGAGCTTGTTCCAAATTTGTGATCAAAATGTTACCACCTTCTTTAAGCGCTGGAATAGGCTTTTGATGTTTTTTCAAAAGGGTTTGGAACTCGGGTCTAATTTAGAAACATTATTTTCAAAAGTTTTGTTCCTCAGGGCAGATAATCGTTTTTAATTTGTTTTTGCAAATCCCGCCAGATAACTTTCATGGCAGGATCGCGTGTTCTTTGATAGTGTCTCCTACGGACATTTTTAAGGCGGATCAAGAGCTGAAGATCGTCGTCTATTATAATTGAATCGAATTTAACCTCGCATTTTGGTATTGAGGCAGCTCTTGCTTCAACTATAGAAGTAGTCAGAGATTCAAGCAAAGATGAATACTAAGATGAAACTATTGGAAGAAAAACTTTCTATTTTAGTGTCCTCTTTCACGGTCCCTTTCATCCAATGAATACCCCTCGTATTCAAGGTAATTTTGTGGTTTTGCTGCCCCCTCGGTAGAGATGAAATTTTTCGCTCATTTTTATCAAAACAATCACACCAAAATCAGAGATGTCCCATTTTTTAATTACTCGATTAACAACTAATCGATTATTTTTTGTTCGTTGTGCTGCCATTTTTCCAGCAATGAGAGTGCAGCATATGTTTGAAACGATTGGTGATGATCCTCTGGAGAAGTTAATGCTTATATCGGCATGATATAACCTATTACAAATATTTTACTTTTCGGTTCGTTAATCGATTAATCGATTATTCGAATGAAAATCGGCCATCACT